GCGGAGCTTGCAACTGTACCAACCAAGTCGTCTCTGGTGCAAGCAGAGTCTTCTCTCGCCCCATCTGCAGTCGTTTCTTCATGCCCATTCGGAATGAGAACCTTGTTAGTCGATATTTCTGGACGATTTCACTTCAGTCCCTCAATATTGGTGGCGCTCTCTCTTGGGATGCCTAGAGTTCCGATATTTGCGGGAGCGGAGATAGCTTTTGGAGGACATTGCTCGCTCGATACGGGGGAGATAGAGACAGTACTTCAACCGAATTAGCCAAAGGAGTGCCAAAAGGGAATGTGTCGTCTCGCTTGTTTCAAAAAAAAATAGGATTCTCGAGACCATAAGGTGACCTACGCTGAGAAAGGTAGTATTCGGGTATAAACCGAGCGATAAATACCGAGAAGAAATCGGTGGTGATTACTGTGCCAGTAACGCTTGGTTTTTGAAGACATGAATACGTATTTTTGCTCCTCCGATGGACGTTCGACTCAATGTTTATAACCACGCTCTCAAGATTCGTTGAATTACTTACTTACCACAACACACAAGTTAATAATAAAAATCTCAGAAGATTGTCACTGATTATCAGTTGTAGTAATAGAAAACAATGCTGTGGATATAATTTCCGTTATTTGATCATGAATGTATGGTATGTACTTCAACTTCAACTTCAGGGACACCTCCATGATCGTCGATTGCAACAATACAAAGGGTGACTGAGTCTGATGGAAATCATTGCGTTGTGTTTTGAAGGACCCATATTGCCGTTTAGCGATACTGGGATTTTCCCAGAAGTCCTCACAGCCTAACATTGAACTCGGGGCTCTTTAATAGATGGCTCTCTTCTTTCTATATGAAACCTTATCCAAGTCGTTTAAGCCTGGATGTTTCCCTGCCGAGCGAATCGTTTGTAATTCTTGCCGGTTTCGTGCCGGGCTTCCGACTCGGGATGCCCTCAAAAACCTCCTGCCGCCCTTATGTTTCAATCTGTTCAATCTGTGACATTGTGTCCTAATAATGCTGCATAAAACTAGAAGTTTGCGTTGGTACTGACCTCTCGAACTCAAACTTAGTTTGAACTCCAAGCTTGAACAATCGATGATGCTTATCAGTTGCAAGGGAAAGTTCACACGACAGTCCGGAGCTCCAGAAAATTCCTAGCAGCGTATGGCTTAGAGATGACATGCATAGGACGTATTACGACTTCCTCTGGCTAACGAATATGGTCCTGTGACCGGCTTCTGAATTTAAACGAGCCTTTCTTTAGAGTTCCGTGATCAATGGATCTAGAAAATTGTCTCTCCCATACCTGTCTTCACCGCCTGCTCTAAATCAAGCTTCGTAGAATACAGCCCTCGACCTGGGTACTTTAGTGCTTTCGGATATATCTTACTGTTTTTCCGGGGCATTTGACCTCCCGACTACGATTGAATAAGGGTGTAGAGTTCTATCAGAAACCCTAACTTTGTGTCAAATACCGTACTTCTCCCTGCCCTTCATTGTTTTATTTTTTATCTCACATCTACTTTGACCCAATACCATTGACTTTCTTTGCTCTAGATATCATCGATATATCAACCCTGGAAGGAATCCGGACGACATTTATATCCACAAATATATGCCTCTTCAAAATAACTAATTATATACCGAACGTCGAACGATTGTCTGGAGGGATAAGTTAGTAACTACATCAAGGCTGAATCATCGGATCTTTGGTAAGCTCGGCCCTCAGACCTCAGGCCTCAAATTTCTAAAATCAATTTCGGACACACAAGGTCAGTTATGGAAAACTGCCTTCCCTTGGCGCCGAGGGAAGCAGTGGATGTTATTCTCAAAGTCTGGAATAAATGAGAGCAGCGGAGAAAGTTACATGGATTGAAATAGGCAAGCAGGGTACCCAAAACGATGAGATGGAAAATGTTCTGTACGATGCCATTCAGGACGGATGTTCGGATATCAATCGAAATACCGTTGGGAAAGGCTTAGTAACCCTCCTAGTGATTCTATTACCAGTATTACAAAGTTCTTGACAGTAATGTCCTTACCTCCCGAGTGTTTTACGATCGATTCTATGACAGAATACAAATGTCCGCGCGGTACGTTAGGTTCTAATCTCAGGAATCAAGCTTTGTGTCCATGTTGTCTATTCAACGCTTCAGCGATAATCATGATTTTCGTAGAAAATCCTTGAATTTGTAACCTGGGGCTCCTGCGCGCATCGTATATATTATACTTACTCCCTCAAATCAAATCAAACAATATAAAAATCCGCCCCGGGTGATTTACATTCAATATTCTAAAGAAGCTTGACCATTGTCAATCTCCCTTTCGGGCTAGATGAGGCGTATATCAAGTTAAAAACATCGAGGATGTCGGAGAAGCTCGCAGTGTAAGCGTACGTTGTCCCATATGGAAGGTCAAAAAAAGACTCGACCACAGAGTGCCAAGTTCTATTGAGAGCGTATACGAGGAAAGTGGAATTCCGCCTGAAAGAGGACTACTACAATGCTTTGCAAAGTAGAAAATACAGACACGGATCTTCATATGCATGCTGACCAGCTTGATGAATCGATGACGCAGTACCATGCAGTCCAGTACATATCCTCATTTTCTTCCCATCTGTCCCTTAAGTGGAGCTCAATTTAACTGTCGTTGCAGATGGGGCATATTCTACGACAGCTACGCAGTTCATATCCAACTTGCATTTCTAGAAATTGAGCTCAGGATCGTCGCTTCAAGGAGGAATCTTTTGATTTGACGGGAGAACGTGTTGATGTGGGGAACTCATCAGCGAGTATTGAATGTTTTGGGATGTGGCGGTCTACTCCTATCAAATATGAACGTTTGAACTTGAGAAGAGCTGTTCAATACATTCTTTACAGCCATATAGCCCAGTACACGTTACAACCTGGGTGGGCAATGAGACCTTACCCAATGGGTATCCACAATGAACGCCTGCGTTCGCTCTGAAACTGGATAATCGCCTAGAGAAAATGATGTCAAAAATAAACATGAAAATCCCCACCCTCCATAGAAAGGAGACGACGCTATATGAGCACTAGATGACAAAGACACAACACAGACGGAAATCTTTAGAAAATGAAAGCTCTCCATGTTTACGAATATATCTTTATGTCATAAGGACCTCTGGACTTGTTGCCCAAGGAACATCGAATGAGAACAGGGGTCGGTTAATATCCTGGATTCAGTTCCCCGATGTCCACGTACCATACAGACGTGTTCTTGCAAATTACTCACAGAATGAGAGGTTCCTTGTTGACTCGGAAATATATCAGCAAACCATCCAGAGGAGAATTTTCCCGCTGCTTTCTTGGATTTGGGATCCATGCACCCCGTCAAGCGAATAGGAGGATTCTGATAAATTTCACATGAAAACAACTGGAAGTATCCCTGCTGAAGATTCATGTCTTCTAGAAAAGTTGATTTATACGTAGATACGTTTGACATTGAACGTCGACTTTCTTACATTTGAAAATCGCTGCGATAAGGAGCGAAAACGTCCTTGGGCAAGTTCTCGATACCGAGCGCTACTTCTCGAATTATCACGTCCTAAGTACCAAGTGCCGAAAATCGGAATAAATCTGCGACGATTCCCACAAGTCAGGGATACGAGTTACTCCCCCGGCCGGCCCGAGACTGAGAGGTCACGGAAACTTAAGCTCTCCTAATTTGTTTCCCCACGACATCGTTTAAGCGTTTTTTCGAAATTCGACGATGGTTATAACCATCAAGCGTCGAGTCTTGCTCCGTTCCCCATGGCACGTATGTAAGTGTCCGAACATGGGTAACCCACTTAAGCCCACATAGTGTCAGTGCGTAAATGACTGAGAACTCATCAACCAGGGCTGGTTCAATTTGGTTCTGCAAAGGATTCAAACCAGGTCGACTTGGATGAGTCGGAGATATTTTCCACCGACCGGACCATCTTCGATCACTTTTCCTCAATAGATGTTCTATAATACCACGAAAATCCGCCATACAATAAGTTGGTACTTCTTTTTCGACGCACATACTATACATAAGGAGCTGTGGCCACATCCTTTGTTCTATAGTACCACGAAAATCCGCAATAAGTTCCTACTTCTTTTTCGATATGTACTATACATATGGGGCTGTTGCCACATCCCTCTTCGATGTTTCAAGAGCATGAGATGTGGCCATGGCCTGATGGAACAAACGACGCAGAAAAGAATACCGACATCGGTACATGATGATAAGAATCGGCTAAGAGATGCACTAGTAGTAGCAATAAGGGCATATGGATACGATTGACTTGAAATTCGTGAGCAACTTGGAAAATGATCTCCGACCCCCATGCCAATCACCAAAAGGTCAACACCCATATACCGCATTATATTGGGGTTGGAGGGTGTGATCAGGGAATATCGCACCCCGAAACTCCAATATGATGGGGATGTCATGGGGTTGTCATAGTGGTGTCACTCTCTATCGTGCTAGTTATGGGTTTGGCTATTTTGATGATCATGATGGTCAAAAATTGGAGGGGTCGTTTCCAGTGACTGTAAAATGAACAACACACCATTCGAGTAGAAATCTTGCGATACACGAATTTCTTTGATAGCAAAATCTACGCTCAATACATAGCTGGAGCTTTTTGGAATTCCGACTCGGGCAAACGATACATCATCGGCTGCGGCCAAAGGGCAAATCTGAGTTCAAAGTCAAGAAGTACATCATCGGCTGCGCCCAAAGGGCAAAGCTGAGTTTAAAGTCAAGAAGTAAAGGGTGAAAAAGGGTGCTAAAACACCTCGGACGCAGTCTAACTTGCACGACTGAATGTATGATAGAAATCAGTGATTAGACTGGAGATTTCCGTAGGGAGAAGTGTTTGGGACCAATTTATACCCCTGGTCACAGTTTGATGGTGCTTGGCAAGAATTTCCAGGTTATGTAATGGGTTGTGCTTGACGGACCATCCATGCTGCAGAGGCAAAACCAAATGAGCGCCAAATGAGAAAAACTAATGACGAGAGTGGGATTCGAACCCACGCCCCGAAGGACCAGATCCTGATTCTGGCGCCTTAGACCGCTCGGCCATCTCGCCTGATGCACGGGCATAATCTTTGTCTGACACAAAAATAGCACCCAAGGAAAGGATGTAGAAAGGACGAGCAAACTGAGAGGGTATACATCTGTATTCAATCTCTCCACATTTTTTCCGTCTTCCGGGAGCAACATCATTTGCCCACAATCTCCACATCGCATTTGTCCCCTTCTCCTTTCGAACCTACGCTCCGAGAATCGCGCAGAGTCCATTTCAAGTTCTGGCTCAAGAGTCCTGACGGGAAAAGAAGACCGAGGTAAATCTCTTTTGACAAGCAACTCTCTTTACAGATGTCCATTCATCACGTATCTTAGACATAGCACCGAAATGTTGTCCGACATTCAAGACGATCTCGTATTGGAATTCACTGATAAGATCAATAAATAATTGGTGTGGAAAAACAAGCAAATCTACACGAGTTCTTTCTCAGCCCCATCGTAGCTTCTCATCTCCTTCCCCACATGTACATCTCATGTTTCCTAAATCACGGACGATCGTGACACCTCTCGATTATTTTTTCCAGTACTAGTCTTCATTTCTCCCTTTTTACCGCTGACTTTGGTCATAAACTGAGGCGATGTGCCTGAGTGACGTCGTTTGCAGGCGCCGAGGAACAGAGGTGGAGTATCCTTAATACCTTCCAGAGACACGGTTGTCGTTCGCGGAACGTACTCTTCCTTTTGACAACCCCTTGACTTGTTTTGCCTCATGTGATATTGTTGATGGAGATGCCTCGTTGTCTTTTTTTTTTCGCTGTCGTTCCGATCTCTCGACGACAGCCAAGGGTGATTTCGATTAAATCTTAAGCGGACAACTTCAAGTAGAATTCGAACACCCAGATGCCAACATGAATGTTAGTTAAGAGGAACATAACTCCAATTGTTGCAATGCTGCGTCGAAGACTGTCCCAGACGATATTCCAGCTACAGCGCCTTTCACATTATCGTACAAGCGAGGCGTTTAGGTAGATCTAGCTTTGTGTGAAACGTCTCCTTTCCCCTTCCGTTATTGGAGATGAGGGGGTAGTGTGTTGTTGGTTCTGGACAGTTGATAGAATGAAGAGATTAAATTGCTAAAAGATTGGCGCATGTGGCATTTACGGGGCCGACTGAAGGAGGAAATTATATCGCCGACTTTGTTGCCTCGGTCGATCACCGATGTGTTCTTATTTGTCAAGATCGTTATTACTAATCGGTCACGGTCGCCGATGTGGTCCTGTTTGGATCAGAAGACACTTGAAGTTAACCTTGGGTCGACCTTGGTCCAGAGTCTATCTTCAAACTCCAATCTGCCTCAAAACACACTAGGAACTCAAGATAAAGCAATAGTTCTAAGATATGTCTTCACTTTCAAATCGTGGTCCAAGTCAGTACCATGCCGTGAGGCATGGATTATCCACGATGCGTGATGTATGATGATACCTTTGTTTAACTTCATTAGTGAGTCATACTTTATTCAAGCGCCCAATCGACCACAGCAAGGTATAAGCCTGTCCTCCACTCTCATGTCAAACCACCAACCCGTCCACTCCTCTGGCTCTACTAAGGATCATTCCGGAAACATCTGCTCGTTCTTTCAATCAGGTCGGTGCAGGTATGGAGATAACTGTCGGAACAGTCATGCCACTGTACCTGCTCAAACAAATCAGGGATCTATTCCAAAGGTTCGTGGTCTAGCCTCGAAGTCATTACGTTTTTTGTCATTTCCGATGCCCTAACGCGTTTGACGTGTATCAGGTTCCCATTGTCTCAAGCGATCCTGGTAATCGATCTTCCATGGACAAGATAGTGTGCTCGTACTGGATTCGAGGAGGCTGTACTAGAGGAGAAACCTGCAGATATTGGCATGACCCAGCGTTTAATCCTCAGAGCTTGGAGGTGAGTGAATATTCCTCAGGAATCTGCCATAAGCTCAGATTAAGTAGTCGTCTGTCATACAGACTTCTTATCTCGCCATGACTACTTCATCTCCCAGCCAAATAAGCCATTCTTCCAACAGAAGGGTTCCCTGTTCATACTGGGTACGAGGAAGTTGCACCCGAGGGGATACGTGTAACTATTGGCATGATCTCGGGGTCAACTTTGATGCAGACACCGCCAAGCAGGAGCATTCTAATCAAGTGAGTTTCCGAGAACGATTTACAATAACGCGGTTTTTGTTCAAACATGACTTCCAAGTTCCATTCCAACACGCCCTCTGCTTCGAAGTGTCTCAATCAAAGCGGCTTTAAAGCGACGATACCGTGTATGTACTGGGAGCCCCGAGGAACGTGTGCGTTTGGAGATACCTGCAGCTACCGGCATGATCCCAACTTGGCTCGAACAGTCAAACTCGGTACGAGTAAGGAAAGTGGTCAGTTAGATGATGTCAGTACAACCATTTTCGTTCCATCACGATGAGATTGTTTGACGTATTTGTTGTTGTCCCAGTCTTCGGCGAGTCGGGCCATATCATTGTCCTCGGGGGAATCTTCTTTGACTGAGAAGGTTCCATGCATGTTTTGGAATGAGGGATTATGCTCCAGAGGTGATGCTTGTAAATTTTGGCATGATACCGTCAGACATCAACCGGTAGATCACGGAAGAGACGTTCATACTGTGAGTCAAAAGCACCCTCTTTCTCAATTAATTTAATTGTATTGAGAGGCTTCTAACGTTGTCTTTGCCGCGTCAGTCCAATACAACTACTACTTCGATACAGTCCGGTACTCTACCGAACGACCGAATATTATGTTCTTACTGGAGCCGTGGAACCTGTGCTCGCAACGAAGATTGCAAATACTGGCACGACCCAGAAGTCAAAAATGCGCTTCATCGCAAAGAAGTAGCTCGTAGAGAAGAGAAAACCCGCTTTGAAGCCGTAAAAACAGTTCAACATCTCGTCTCCGGCACTACGCTAGTTAAATTTGGACCAGGTGTGCGTGTAGAACGAGTCGTTACAGGATTCGAGTCTTGTCGAATCAAGATTACCGGTTTACCTCTCGACATCAAGCATCCTGAAGTGTTGGATTTAGTGCGCAGCCGCTGTGAATTGGATCCCGAAAAGATGTTGCATCTTGTTAGTCTGGATTTGGACACTTCGACACGATGCAAGGATGCGGTTTTCATTGTCGAGGAAGACGCAGCTACGGTCGGAGAACTTAAATCAGGACTGGATGGTTCCGAGATTCGAGGTCAGATTCTACGAGTCGAAACGGCATTCAGCGGATTCTCGGGTGGCATGACCGATAGCAAAACTGGAAATTGGTTGGTGATATCCTGGCGTATGCCTTTTACGTGCTTCGTCGTCAAATACACTTCTCCAGCGCTTGCGGAGGGGAAAATTCGGAACTTGAACGGTATGACGATTGGAGGTCGGAAGATTACGGTAGCCCCAAACCGGACTCGACTAGGGAGTGTCGATCCTAAAGGCGTATTCGTTAGCGGAATTCCTCTTGATGTCACGCAGAAGGAGATTTGTAGGCGATTCGGTTCCAATGCAGTCACAAAGATTCCTACAGAGGAGTATGATGATCACCGGGTTGATTCCTGGGTAACTGGGTATATCAAGGAGACTGTCGGGCGTGAATTGGTCGAATTCGACGAGACTCAGATCGATAAATTACAGGGCACTCGTTCTATCCGCGCTAGATTTCGGAGTTGGGAGGATGCTAAGGACGTCTATGACCACATGAAAGATCGCAAATTCGATCGCATTGGGAAGGCGGCATTTGGGCTTTGGCTTTCGGATCCCTACCAAATCGCTATCCCGATTAGACAATATCAAGCCCAGAAGAAGTTGTGGGACGCATTATCGGAGAACAAACCTTTACATGTCAGGATACAAGGGGATAAGGTGATCATTCGGATTGGTGGTCGAGATATGAAAACCCTTGGAACGCTCAAGGTTAGAGTCGAATCTGGGAGCTGGAGAAATTATTGGTGGTGTTTGGCATCATTGGTTTGTTTCGTCAGAAGGAAAAAAGTTCTTGGAATCCGTCTATGATTCTACAGGAGCGTATGTTGATCCGGACTGGAAACTAAAAGCTTTGAAGGTGTACGGTGAACCTCGTGCATGTATCAGAGCTCGAGAAATGGTCGGGAGCGAGTTGGAACGACTGACCAAGATGATGTACACGAAGGTCCTCAAAAGGCAATCAATCAGGTTTTTCCTTAATCGTGGCGTTGCAATACTTGAAGAGGCGTTTGGGGAAAGCAGCGTTAGTCTCAACATATTCGACTCTCCTTGTCGTATCACAATCCAAGGTGGAGAAGCAGCTCTTCATCTACTGAACAAACTCATCGCCGAATCCCTCGAAAATATAACCACGGATTTCACCGCTACTACAGAGTCTGTGTGTCCCATATGCCTATGCGAGGTCTCGAACCCGTTCAAACTTGGGTGTGGACACGAGTATTGCACCACCTGTCTTCGTCACTTTTTCATCACAGATGCCAAAACATTTCCCCTCGTTTGCGCTGGCGACGACAATGACTGCAAGCAACCTATCGCACTACCCATGCTCCAGAAAATTTTGACGCATTCTCAGTTCTACACGTTGCTCGAAGTGGCATTCTCCTCATATGTGGAGAAAAACACTCAGATTTACAAGTATTGCAAGACCCCAGATTGCAGACAAGTATATTCCTGCATTTCGTCTACTACACGTACCCTGCGTTGCCCATCATGTCTTGCAACAATTTGCCCTAGATGTCACGAAGACGGACATGATGGATTGACTTGCGAGGAGAGACGTAAACATACCGACACAGTCGAACAAGAGCGTCTTACTGATCAATGGGCAAAAGAGGCTGGAGCAAAAAGATGTCCACAGTGTAAAGTATGGATTCAGAAGACCGAGGGATGCAATCATATGTCATGTAAATGTGGCGCTCATATATGTTGGGTGTGCATGCGCGTCTTCTCGTCGGGAACGATCTATTCTCATATGAATGAGACTCATGGATCTATTTACGATGCCAGAGACCCGCTTATTCAAGGAGAAGACATACAGGCTCAGT